GGGCGGCCCAGCCGCCGCCATGGCGCGCGCTCCCGTCGCCACGGCAACAGCGGCGCCCGCAGCCCCGCCCCGCCCCGCCCCGCCGGTAACCGGCGGCTCCTCCGGCCTCTGGTTCTCCGGCGGGCTCCGCGTTGGGGTAAATGAAGGCCGGACCACCGCTTAGGGTACAAATTTTCTGGTTTATGCACCCGAAGGACGAAACTATAAAACCGTCGGTACAGTACATGCGGTTGCAAAACAGGTCCTTGAGGGAACGGCTCCGGGATCAGGCGTTCTTGGAGTGGAACTACAAGGACGCTGGGAGAGCGGCACCCGTCAGCAACTCACCCTCCTCGCCTGCCGCACTAACAGACAACAGACATCGCTTCCCAAAAACAACAGGTTTTTCACACGTACGACTGCTTGCTCGAGGACAGCCTGGACTAAACCAGAACAAGCCACTCAGCCCTATGGAGGAGTCTCCCACCTTTGGTGCCAATTTAACTTAAATGCTTCCAGTCACTACGTTAAATTACACTGCTTTGTTTTTTTCCCTATAGGCAAAGAAACACCTAATGTCTTCCTGCTTTCATTTTCTTGTTCTTACCCACTAAAGAAGCCGTAACCAACCCAACTTCCAGAGATCGCTAATTTGCCGCTCCCTTAAAAGCCAGCTCCAATACGGCAACAACAAAAATTGTCACCGCCAAAAATATCAGCTGCAGCACTTTACATTTCTGACACTGTCAAGAAGTGAGGTCTCATTTTTAACAGAACAACATTGCGAACAGGGTTCTGTAAAACCTGTGAAGTAAATATATTTCAATTTAAGCCTGAGACATCAAGCCAGGTTAAATTCACTGGACACAACTTTGCTCCACTGAAGTCAATGCTTGATTCCCACCTGGCAAGAAGCCATTTCAGCCCACCTAAGCTATATATCCCCTTAACTCTGCTGTCCAGGAGACGAACTTTCCCCTACAAATACGCTAAAAAATAGACTACTTTTCAAATGTATTTTCAAACCACTACAAATTAGGTTTTCTTACCAACTAGACATCATTTTCAGAGGAATTCCACACCCACAAGGAAAAGGTATCTGCATGTTTCAGTTGTCATGCAGCAAACTGACCATACGCTAACAACGCGTCTCCCTCAGCTGCAGATACCACATTGTAGGAAAAGAGCTGTCACTGGGTTTCCAAAACCAGCTGTGCTATCAGCTCCTTGGCATCCTTCATGCTGGAGGAGATCTCGGAGCCATCCTCGGCCACGTGGGTACCAATCAAGAACAGCTTCCTCTCGTCCCCAATATCAGACAGTGCCAGAGCATCGTGGATATCGGTGATGCAATATGCACCTTCGAGGTCCTGATACACAAAAACAAAACAAGCCTGTTAGTTGCATGAGGTGGCAGCACCATTCCTGCTTTGAGCCACTGCCTTTGTCCAGGGAGAGGAAGGGTCTCAAAAGGTTCTGGGGGCACCATTCTTACATACTTTCTATGAGATCAAGTTCCCATGCCCTAAAATGCTTTTGGAAAAAAAATGTTTATACTTAATCTAATTTCTTCCCAAAGAAACAAGGGTACAGTTCTGTCTCTAGTAATCCCAGTGTTTCTGATAATAATGTAAGACTAGCTGTACAAGGCAGACAAAAGTCTTGCTGGCCCAAGACCCCAGGTGCCCAGCACAGAGTTACAAGAAGAGGGCAAACGTACAACAGTCATTCCCTGCACACCTTCTCAGCCACCAGTGTTTCTGACTCTGGGACCTAGAGAATAGTAGCATTTGCATTTGATGAAGCCAAAGCCTGCGTTTGCACTCAAGGGCGACACAAAGGACTACTAGAAATTTAGAAGGTAAAAACGTAGAGCAAACCGAGCACACAGCCCTCATAAAAGAAAATCTGGGCTTAAAAACCCTGGGCTGTTCGATCATCTGACCATACCAGAGGCACAATTCTATTCCAGGTACAGCACCAGTCACTGACACTTTCACAAAGATCTTAGGAGAAAGCACTGCCTTGTGAGGAAAGCTGCTCTTCTCTCAGGCTTCAGCAGCAGCCTTAGGAGCAATGAACCGGACAATCTGAAGGTAAACAAGGGTGCTTCACTTTTCGGCTGCTGCTAGGTGAAGTGCTACTCCTAGACAGACATTCAGAACAGAAACCTAACTCCAGGTCTAACTGTGGTGTCCCTTGCAGCTATCAAACCTTGCAACTCTACAGCAGTTTCCACCATTACTTCCACCCACAGCTCTGATTGCACCATCTGCAAGTGCAGGACCTGCATCTTGCAGATCCAAAACTCAACCTCAGATTATTTTCTTTTGCGGTCAACAGGTGTCCCAGAAAGACCCCCAGGTCCCAGCCACGTGGCCTCCTTAAAGGCATGAAGCCTCCTTTGAAAGGCTTTGTTGCTGTTTTCAGAGCGGCTGCCAGCCCAAGCTCAGCTAGCAGCAGGGAACTCTTACCTGCTTGTTGGCCAGAACCACCACCGGCAGAGTGGAGTTGTTCTGGATCAGTTGATGAAGCAGCTGTTTTGCCACAGGCAGTCGGGCATGATCGGCTGAGTCCACAACATAGATCAGCAACAGCACTTTGGGCAAGTACATCTTCCAGTATGAACGCAGAGATTCATTGCCCCCGACTGGAAGAGAAGACAGCAGCACAGGATTCACCAAGTAATCCAACCAGCACTACTCCCAGAGGTGCAGACAGCAGGCCCTGGGCTGAAAACCCAAGGTATTTGGGTTAACAAAACTCCAAAGTATTTGGGCTACTGTATATGAGACTGGAAATAGCTTTATTTTCCCCAGTCAAGCCCCATGCAGGTATATATGTGTATGCTGTGGAGAAAAAAAAAAAACAAAAACAAAAAACAACCCTTCCATTTTAAGCTCTTATTTTGAGAGGATTCTGGGTTCAGTTTCTTTATGGTTGCTTTCTGCCTTGTTGGTTCTTGCTCTCAAGCAAGTAGGGAGAGTAGAAAGAGGTTCAGCGTCCATAAACACCACGTGAGAATGTCCCCATATAACCCATCTCCACATGCCCATCTCACCTTAAGACAAAGCAGGCCTACAGTTTCCAAAGAAGAAATTTAGCTCTGAAGTGGGGAGAGCTCTCATCAGATTTGTGTGACACTAGGGACTAGTTCAAAACTCCCACAGCTTTCATACTGTCAATAACCAGAGGTGCTTAGGAAGAGAGAAAAATCAAGCCCCAGCAGACTCTTCAGGCAATCCTTCCTTGGGAGAAATCTTTGCACAGGATACATTTCTACCTGAGCTCTTCTCTGCTCGATACAGAGGAAAACTGTCCACCTTCAAAACCAGGCCTTGTAACAATTCTGTGGTGAAACCATATGCAGCAAGTTGCTCAAGATTGTTGTTCCCATCTGGGAACAAAAAGAGTTTAGTAGTTTGCTGAGTTTAATAGAAACAGGAAGAGCTAACAGTATATGAAGTATTTCAGATGTGTTTTCAGCTCTCCAGGTCTTCTCCTAAGTACGCTGCAGAACCACTCACTCAAAAGTATTGAGGTGCTCAAAAGGCACAGGTGAGTCTCCCAAAAGTAGCAAGTTTTCAAAGCAATACCTCTGGGGTTCCTTCAAATTGTCTCCTGCCTTACACGAGAGCTCTTTTCAAAACTGACTTGCTAGTTGGCCATCTTTTACTGTCCTCAGTGACTTTGTTCTGTTTCAAAGCAATTTTATTTTCACTTAAGTCAAAACGATTCAGTAGTTTCAAGAACACAGAAAGGGAAGCAACAATTCCCGCTACGGCATGCCTGCCTCTTCAAGAGCCCCAGCATACCTGCAGGCAGAACTGCAAGTCTGCCAACTGTGGAAAGGGGCCAAAGGGCTGTGACTGACATGTCACACTTGGGACAGATGCCTCCGATTCTGTACTGTGACATTGTGGGGGCTCACCACTGTTCCCTTTGTTAAGTGCATTCATGCATAGCATAACCCAGGGGTCAGCAACCTCACAGAGAATGTTTTTTTATTCCCAAACCAGTAGGAACTCAGCAGAAGCCAGGAGCTCCTATCCTTTACAGAGGCAAGCTACCACCCACTTAGCTATATAATGGTACAAAGAAAAAGATAGAACAGTTTTCTATCTGTCTAAGCCAGCAAAATAAAAACCCTGCTGTCTGCTGATCACCTTGTGCCATGTGATCACAGCATAGGCTGCTAACCCCTGGACTAGGCGATGGTACAGACTGGATAAGTAACCAGATTAGAGAGCCATGCACGGATTTACCTGGCTGAAACTGGCCTGAGACATTTCATTTCCCATGGGTCAGATCGCAGCCATCACATCTCAGTCACTACCAACCTGGACCAGAGAGGGAAGGACGACTCAGAGACAACAGGTTCTGCCATGGGTGCACAGCACTGGGCCCAGGCCATCCCCAGGCAGGAGCAGAGATGCTGTGGGTTTCTCTGGGCTCAGCTAGACAAAGCACCTCCCAGTAGGAGACACAGGTGTCTCATACCTACTAGGATCTCTGGAGAGATGACTTCCCTAAGACACTGCAGAGACTCCGATGGTAGTAGGACTAGGAACGAAACTCTGCCTTAGCAGCCTCATCCTCACATCCCAAAAACTTACCTGGGAACAGCGCGACTCCTTTAGGCCTGCTGACAAAGGTATGGAGGTGTCTATGGGCTAGCTGTCAAGTGAGCCGGTTGAGCACTGGTACAGCACAGTGCAGAAACAGCAAGAAGTAGCTTCTGCCTCCACAGAAGGCAGGCACTGATGAGGCTAGGATGTCAGCCTCTCTGTACCAGGGACTGACCTGACTCCAGGGCCTCTACCTTCCCCATCAGCTAGCTGCACCTAGAACAGCTGTGGCACCCCAAAAGCATCACAGGAGACGCTCTCTGCAGGCATGGACAATACTCAAAAATCAGTGCTAAGGACAACACAGAAAATTGGTGAAAACCCAGACATTCAAAAGCCATTAAACACTAGAAAACACCACTTAGGAGGCTTTTGAACAAAAAGGGTACAAAGGTTTTCTCTTCCTCCTCTCTTCTTTCACCTTATTATTCATTCCCCTTCGGCTCTTGCCCTTTGCCAGGCATGAGCACCAAGGAGAATCTGTACAACACATAATGGCAATGGACCACCACACAGGTCTTACTAGGGACACCTCTGCTTTGGGCTGGTTTCACATAATCAGGCTTGTTCCCCTTCTCTCTCTGGGAGCAGAACTCCCTGGAGGACAGGGCTGAACGAACACAGACCTCCTCTAACACCAGTATATCATCTCCTTCAAGAAGTGGGGTGGGAAAGCAGAATCCCTAAGGAGAAATTAATCACAGCTTCGTGTTATCAGAGCGGGCACGAGGGGATGTGGAGCTTTTTAAAATACGGGCCTGATCCCTAGGGCACAGGATAGGAACTTATTTTACGTTCCGTACTAGAACAGGTTCACTCACTCTCCAGGAACTCCATCTGGGACTCTTCGGTGTTGATGCAGATGGCGTTGAAGCCCTCGGTGGGAGCCACGCTGCGCTTGACGTGGTTAGTTGCCAGGGAGCGGAGAATGCTGGTCTTCCCAGCCCCATCCAGGCCCAGCACCAGTATCTGCTTGCCGTGTCCTCTACCCTGCAAAGGGAGGGGCAGCAGGCTTAGCCAGGCAACCAGGCAGCGCAAAGCTTAGCGGGGCTGAGAGAAACGGGGTGTCTGCCCACGCCCGTACGGGGGGAACAGCAAAAACCACTTCAAGGTGAAGAGGGAGACCATGGGAGGCCAGGGACGCCCGCCGGCCCCGGCCCGACCGCGGGCAGCCGCAGAGGA